GTGAAGATCAGACCCCGTCAGCTGCCAGAACCTTCTGCTGGAGATTTCTGTCACCTCCCCCTTGTCCAACCCTCGGGCTGCCCTTTTCCCGTGGGAAAACCTCGGGATGCTCAGAGTGATCCTGTCCCTGGATCACTCTGGAACAGTAAAATGTTCCAGCCACCCCTGAGTCAAGGCTAACCCAGGGTGTTGTTAAGGGAACCCTCGGGGTGAATTAGAGTGAAATGACACCGAGTTTATAAATATAAAAAATTATATAAATACATATAAGTATATAAAAATATATAACCTCGTGTGGAGGATGGGGTTTAGAACAATTTGGTTGCAGTGGGAGGAGGTTTGGAGCTGTTTGGGTTGTTTTCATCTGAGGTAATATGGAAACAAAAGCAAAAATAACAAGAAAATGTACAAGGGAAAAGGGAAGGAAAGGGGAAGGAGGGAAGGGAGGGAGGGAGGATGAAAGACGCCATTCACTTGTGTTAAAACTTTAGTTTAATAGTGAAAATAGTAATAAAAATTATGAATAACAATTCATAATAATGAAAATGGTAATAAAAATTAGGACAATAAGAATTCGGACAATCAGAGTTAGGACAATAAAAGACAATAAAAAACGAAGAATTGCAGAAGTTCAGGTGCCTGGCAGAGCCACAAAGCAACCTTGGTACCAAAGGATTCCCATAAAAGCAATAACCTGTTGCATCTTCATAGATCTCATACGTGATTCAAACATTCCTTTCAAACCAGGGTGTTTCTGCTTAATTTTAGCTTCCCCCCATCTTGTAAATCAGCCTTCTTGGTTCCTCGAAGTCTGAGCTGTCCTGATAAGGAGGCAGTAATTCTTGTCCTGGGATCTTGGTGTCTGTGCTGCTATCTCTATCCTGATAGGATAATGCGAAGAATTTCTTGATTATCTTTTCCATTCTTTGGGCTAGTTACAAAAAGTATCTTATATCACTTAGTTTCTATCTTAATATTATGCTATAGCTTAAAACCTGTATTTACTACACTACTTAAAAGAGAGTAATACAGCACAAATTAAAATAGATTAATACAGCACTAATTAAAATAGATTAACGCAGCATAACTTTCCAACATAACACATACAGTATTCATTTTAATATTTGCAAAGAGCCAATCATATCATGTGCATTTTTCACAATTACTGTATCAGCTATTTCACTGCTATGTCTAAGTTTAGTTAAAAACAGAAACAAAAAAACTGTATCTTTATAGCAAAGTTACTTTAACATTGTACATGTAGCATTAATCTTAAAATGTGTATGAAGCTGATATTATAATATGTATTTATATGTATCAGCTATTTCACTGCTATGTCTAAGTTTAGTTAAAAACAGAAACAAAAAAACTGTATCTTTATAGCAAAGTTACTTTAACATTGTACATGTAGCATTAATCTTAAAATGTGTATGAAGCTGATATTATAATATGTATTTATATTGGGAGGGAGGGAGGGAGAGTAGGCAGGGGGGGTTGAAAATTAAATCAGTTTGAATCCTCCTTAGTGTTACAAAGTCAATAGCAGGAAATTTGCTCTCAGAAAAATGTGGGGTTGTGACCCTCTGTGTTTCAAGACATCCTAATTTAGCTTGATCCTTCATGCTCTCTGCTCCTCCTACTTGTACCCTAGAGGCAGGTTTTCTCCTACTGAGAAAGAGATTAAGGGGAAAAGTGCTGAAAGAGGGAGGTAGAGAAAGAAAATAAGACAGGAATAAACCAGAACTGAAGTCCTAAAATCTAAGAGATTATTAAAATTCAATCGCTCTGCAGCAAAACTTATTTCTATGCAGACACCAACGACTTCTTTGAACTGATGTTGAAAGGTAACACGAAAACTTTTTATTAGTGTTTGAGACCATTTTCTGAGGACACCAGAGAGAGCCGGTTTTGACATATACAAGTAGTGCTCACACACTATATAATGAGTATACATCTACTAAGACATTTCTTCATCTCAGTTTGGACCATACGAGTGAATCAACTTCCCAATTAAGTAGTAAACTGTGCAGGCTATGAGACAGCTGATGAATGGTAGCTCCCTAGCAATTAGTGAAGAAAAACAATGCTAATATAGAAGACACTAAAAAATATTAATCAGCTGTTAATACAGCTCCAAACCCATTAACTATAGTTGTGTTGCTAGTCCAAGTGGGGTATTCATGGTTACAAGTAGCTGACTTTCCCAGCAGAATGTACCATCATGTGGTTGAGTAGAAGCTCCCAAGCCCACAGAGCAAATGGAGCAAGGAGGGAGGTGAAAGAGAGGGAGATGGAAGAGAGGGAGGTGGGTGCAACCTCAACTCTGCTTTCTCTTCAGAGAGAGAGAGAGAGAGATAGATAAAGCAGATCCACTCTGTTTGGCTGTAGTGTGGCATGTTCTGTCAAATATCTTTGTTTGGGTGTAGAAACACACAAAAAATGTCCATGAAAACTATTCTGCATGAGAGTCTGAGATGATGTATATAGCTGTAACCAAAGTTAGTCACTTTTCAAAATTGTAATTGTATATAAGAGGGCTGTTGTACTGAGTATATCATTAAAAACAGACTAAAATAGTAGCAGAACAGCTACCATGAAAAATTCATGTTGCAAAATTAACCTATCCATTTTAACAATATGTAATCATGCATAAGAGAAGGTTTCTTTTAGGAATGTAGAATGACTCAATGTTAAATTATATGATGGCTGAAAGCATTTAGGACTGTTCAGAATCTAAAACATTAAAACAAGGTCTGAAAAAATCAGCTCTGGAACTCTCTCTCTCTATATATAGAGTTACATATATATTTTTGCTTACTGAGAATGCTTATATGGGAAGCTCTTATTCTACTCTTAGCAGCAGGAAATAAGAAAAGATATTCTCAGCTTTTGAATTTCAACTTGAAAATTCCGCTATGAGAAAATCATGGGGAAAAATCCCGAAGGACATGGTTAGTGTGCTAGCTTTGCTTTAAGCAGCCTGCCCAGTGTTTTCCTTACTTTGATGGTTAACTAAACACTAGAGATTTATTGTTGGCTATTTTAAGAGTCCTTCAGTTTTTGAGAGCTGCAGAACCAATTGATTTCGCAAGAGTAACAGCATATCAGTACAAAAAAAGAGAACAACATCAAGCAATTGTCACTCTTGTACAAAAATTATAATAAAAAAATTGTCTATGCTTTCTCTTCTTAAAGAGGGAAGGAGGAAGGAGGGAAGGAGGGAAGGAAGGAAGGAAGGAAGGAAGGAAGGAAGGAAGGAAGGAAGGAAGGAAGGAAGGAAGGAAGGAAGGAAGGATTGTTTCGGATTTGATGTATCTAAGGGGAAGCACAAAGCTCGGGGGCTCAAATGCACCTTTAGGCTCAGGTGAACACCCAGGCACCTCCTGGGGGGAGTTTTACCCCCTCTGGTGTAACACCGGGGTCACCCCCAGTCCTGGGCACAGGGCCCAGAAATGAGTCTGGGGGCACTTCGGGGGCTCTGCTGCTTCTGGCCCTGCTGGGACCCCAAATGAGGGGCTGGGCCAGTGGGAACATCCCTGGGACTGGGAATGTCCCTGGTACTGGGAATGTCCTTGGGACTGGGAATGTCCCTGGGACTGGGAACGTCCTGTGGGACTGGGAATGTCCTTGGGATTGGAGATGTCCCTGGGACTGGGAATGTCCTTGGGACTGGGAATGTCCCTGGGACTGGGAACATCCCTGGAACTGGGAACATCCCTGGGACTGGGAATGTCATTTGGGAGTGGGAATGTCCCTGGGACTGGGAACATCCCTGGAACTGGGAACATCCCTGGGACTGGGAATGTCATTTGGGAGTGGGAATGTCCTTGGGACTGGGAATATCCCTGGGACTGGGAATGTCCCTGGGACTGGGAATGTCCCTGGGACTGGGGATGTCCTTTGGGACTGGGAACATCCCTGGGCAGAGCATTCATCAGGGGCAGAAAGGCTGTAGAGCAAGGGCATGCTTGTGAAGCAGAAGGACTGACGGGAGGAAGAGAATCAGGTAGGGCAAAGTGCAGTTTGGCAAAGAACCTCAGATGGGGATTCACAGCTCTGAGGAGGAAGGAGGGAAGGAGGGAAGGAGGGAAGGAAGGAAGGAAGGAAGGGAGGAAGGAAGGAAGGAAGGAAGGAAGGAAGGAAGGAAGGAAGGAAGGAAGGAAGGAAGGAAGGAAGGATTGTTTCGGATTTGATGTATCTAAGGGGAAGCACAAAGCTCGGGGGCTCAAATGCACCTTTAGGCTCAGGTGAACACCCAGGCACCTCCTGGGGGGAGTTTTACCCCCTCTGGTGTAACACCGGGGTCACCCCCAGTCCTGGGCACAGGGCCCAGAAATGAGTCTGGGGGCACTTCGGGGGCTCTGCTGCTTCTGGCCCTGCTGGGACCCCAAATGAGGGGCTGGGCCAGTGGGAACATCCCTGGGATTGGGAATGTCCCTGGGACTGGGAATGTCCCTGGTACTGGGAATGTCCTTGGGACTGGGAATATCCCTGGGACTGGGAATGTCCTTGGGACTGGGAATGTCCCTGGGACTGGGAACATCCCTGGAACTGGGAACATCCCTGGGACTGGGAATGTCCTCAGGACTGGGAATGTCCTTGGGATTGGAGATGTCCCTGGTACTGGGAATGTCCTTGGGACTGGGAATGTCCCTGGGACTGGGAACATCCCTGGGACTGGGAATGTCATTTGGGAGTGGGAATGTCCTTGGGACTGGGAATATCCCTGGGACTGGGAATGTCCCTGGGACTGGGAATGTCCCTGGGACTGGGGATGTCCTTTGGGACTGGGAACATCCCTGGGACTGGGAACATCCCTGGGACTGGGGATGTCCTCAGGACCGGGAGGTCCCGCGGCTCGGGGTGGGTGTGGGCTGTTGCCGTTGCTGAGGGCAGGTCCCGCTGATAGCAGCTCTGCCGGGCGGGATAAGGAGCGCAGTTCCTCCCGCCCGGGCTCTCCTCCGGCCGTGCCCCTCTCGGGCCCAAGCCCTGTCCCGGCCATGGCAGCGGGGTTTGGGTCCCTCACCGTGTACGTTCCCGTCCCCGCCACGCTCCTGCAGGTACGGGGGGAGCGCCGCCCCCGGGGCACCGCCCGGGTGCTGCAGCTGTGCGGAGTCCTGCTGGGGTGCTTTGGGTTTGGGGGTGCCGGTTCTGGTTTGGGGGTGCCGGTTCTGTTTTCGGGATGCTGCAGCCGTGGAGATTTTGCTGTAGGTTTGGGGATGCTTGAGGTTTGGGGGTGCTGGTTCTGGTTTGGGGGTGCTGGCTCTGTTTTGGGGGTGCCGGTTCTGTTTGGGGGTGCCGGTTCTGTTTTCGGGATGCTGCAGCCGTGGAGATTTTGCTGTAGGTTTGGGGATGCTGGTTCTGTTTTGGGGGTGCTGGTTCTGTTCGGGGGGTGCTGCAGCTGTGGGGGTTTTGCTGTAGGTATCAGGGTGCTTTAGGTTTGGGCTGCCGGCTCTCTTTGGGGGTGCTGGTTCTGTTTTCAGGGTGCTGGTTCTGTTCAGGGGGTGCTGGTCCTGTTTTCAGGGTGCTGGTTCTGTTCGGGGGGTGCCGGTTCTGTTTTGGGGGTGCTGCAGCTGTGGAGGTTTTGTTGTAGGTTTGGGGGTGCCGGCTCCGTTTGGGGGTGCTGGTTCTGTTTTGGAGGCGCTGGTTCTGTTCGGGGGGTGCTGATTCTGTTTTGGGGGTGCTGCAGCTGTGGAGGTTTTGCTGTAGGTTTGGGGATGCTGCAGATAAGGACGTGCTGTAGGTGTGGGGGCGCTGTGAATTTGGGGGTGCTGCGACCACTGGCAGTGTTTCACCTGCCCAAGGTGTCAGCCGGGGGCGCCCTGGAGTTGGGGTGCTGACAGCAAAGCCCTGAGGTGTTGGGGGGCTGGGACTCCCCCACCCATTCCTCGCTCCTCCGGGGTCCAAGTGGACTCTGCACCCCAAAACCAGGGAGGGGGGGGAGCCCATGGGGGACACGGCCGCGGGGTGACGTACCTGCAGCTCATTTTGGGGTCCGTTTGCAGGTTATTGTCATGTCCAGCCACGAGACCATCCGGGTGCTGGAGGTGGGGGTGGATGGGGACCCCAAAACGGCCGGGGAGGGAGCGGGGGGCTCCCCGGCACAGGGGGGCCCCCCAGGTGTGGAGGACGCTCCCGCCAGCGCCCCGAGCTCGTCCGGCGGGGAGGCGGCAGGTGAGAGACCCCCACCCCCTCCCCCCTCCCCGGGATCGTTCCCAGCGGAGCCCGCCGGGTCTCCCATTCCCGGGATCGTCCCCCCGGGTCTCCCTTTCCCGGGATCACTCCCGGTGTCCCCGGGCCTCCGGGATCGTCCCCCCGGGTCTCCCTTTCCCGGGATCGTCCCCCCGGGTCCGGCGGGGAGGCGGCAGGTGAGACACCCCCACCCCCTCCCCCCTCCCCGGGATCGTTCCCAGCGGAGCCCCCCGGGTCTCACATTCCCGGGATCGTTCTCCCTGGGTCTCCCTTTCCCAGGATCGTCCCCCCGGGTCTCCCATTCCCGGGATCGCCCCCCCGGGTCTCCCTTTCCCAGGATCATCCCCCCGGGTCTCCCATTCCCAGGATCGTCCCCCCGGGTCTCCCTTTCCCGGGATCGTCCCCCCGGGTCTCCCATTCCCGGGGTCGTCCCCCCGGGTCTCCCTTTCCCAGGATCATCCCCCCGGGTCTCCCATTCCCGGGATCACTCCCGGTGTCCCCGGGTCTCCCTTTCCCAGGATCGTCCCCCCGGGTCTCCCTTTCCCGGGATCGTCCCCCCGGGTCTCCCTTTCCCGGGATCGTTCTCCCCGGGTCTCCCTTTCCCGGGATCGTTCTCCCTGGGTCTCCCTTTCCCGGGATCGTCCCCCCGGGTCTCCCTTTCCCGGGATCCTTCCCCCCGGGTCTCCCTTTCCCAGGATCGTCCCCCCGGGTCTCCCTTTCCCGGGATCCTTCCCCCCGGGTCTCCCTTTCCCAGGATCGTCCCCCCGGGTCTCCCTTTCCCGGGATCGTTCCCCCCGGGTCTCCCTTTCCCAGGATCGTCCCCCCGGGTCTCCCTTTCCCGGGATCGTTCCCGGTTCCCCCCGGCTCTGCCTCCCGGGACCGTCCCCAGGTCCCTCCCTGGGAGCACAGGGGGTGTCCGGGTTGTGTCACCTGGGCTGCTCCGCGCTCCTGCTGCAGGTCCTCCCCCCCTCGCCCCAGCAGTTCACGTTTTGGGGGGACCCCGCGTTATTCCTCACTGCTTTCTGTCCCAATCCGGCAGGAC